ACATATTTTAAATTATAAACTCAAGGCTGGAGAGATGGCTCAGCAGTTAAGAACACTAGGTACTCTTGCAGAGGGCCTGGGTTCAAATCCCAGCAACCACATGGCAGCTCACAACTGTCCGTAACTCTAGTTCAGGGGATCCAACAGCCTCCTCTGTCCTCCGCAGGCATTGCGTGACATGGGTGCACTTACCTACATGCAAGCAATACACACATACACGTAAAATAAAAATAAATTTTTTTAATTTTTTAAAGATTTATTTTATTTTTAATTATGTGTATGTGTGTATGGGTCTGTCTATGGGCAAGTGCACTTGAGTGCAGTGCCCACAGAGGTCAGAGGCATCTGATCCCCTAGAGCTGGAGTTACAGGCAGTTGTGAGCTGCCAGATGTGGGTGCTGGGAGCCAAACTCAGGTTCTTAGGAAAAGCAGCCATCACTCATTACCCACTGAGCCATCTCTCCAGCCCCCAACTACATTTATTATGGAATGAAACAGATGAAGATTACGTGTCTAACACTGCTTAATTACTTCTCCATGACAGTTCTTAGGCAGACTTACACTGCTTAGATTCTTAAAATGTTCTTTTATGTATCTCATATTTTTTCTTCATTTCATGGGGGTCTAATAATTGTGGAACACTATATTACAGCAAGAGTTGGCCAAGATAATAAAAACTTCTAAATGGCCTTGAATAGCTAAAACTATTTTATTACAGGCAAGAAAGGGCAGAGTTGACAGGAAATATATAAATAGCCAGATAGCCTTATATGTTAACTCTGTGAATACAATTTAAGATACAGAGGGCACCTGTGGCCTTGAAGAGCTGGAGTCAACACCAAATGGATGCTTTTTCCTGGAGGACTAGGGGTTAAAGAGAAGGAGGGAGGAAGGAAGTGAGGAATGGAGGGAGACAGCAAATGAGGGGGAGGGAGGGAGACTCCATCTAAACAGTGACTTACCACAGAGAACAGCAGCAACAGACTGCACTCAACACTTGGGCTTTCTACACTGTTCCCTTTTCATCAACCTTCCTAATCAGAGGCTCCCGCAAAGGACACTATTCACTAACTTTTCCTAATCTTAATCCTTTGAGAGCAATTTCCCTCTGGGCAGACTTTCTTTTCATCAACCTTCCTAATCAGAGGCTCCCGCAAAGGACACTATTCACTACCTTTTCCTAATCTTAATCCTTTGAGAGCAATTTCCCTCTGGGCAGACTTCCACCTATAGTTGCACTGTCACAAGATCAGGGCCCACACTGCTGATGATGTAGGCCTCCTGCAATCCTATCCCATACAGTCATTCAGGGACTTTAATACGTTCTCTAGTCCATTAGGCATTTGGGGAGTGTCCCAGTCCTCACACAACGGACCACACGCATCTAGGAAGGCCAAGTGACACAGAGAGGAAGACGGCCACCTTGAGATTTCCTCGACAGATTCTCCATCCTGACTCATCTTAGGGTCTGTTGTGTCCCTGTTTAGATTCCAGGTGTTCGGGGGTGGGGAAGCTGTAAAAATAACCTCCTTCCTCTGCCTCCCGAGTGCTGGGATTAAAGGGGAGTGTCACCATGCCTGGCCCACTCCTTTCTTTTTTGAAGCCCCATCCAGTAAGGAATTCATGCACCCCGGCCTCTCTCTGCCTCCCCGCACCCATGTTCTCCCCCTTACAGGTGTGACATTCAGCAATGGAGAGCGCTCCAAGCGACTCTGGCGCTTCACCATCGCCACACTGAGAGACTGGCGTGGGGAAGCATGGTGTGGAGGAGTGTACCCAGGAGGAAGCAGCCTGTCTTGTCAAGATTTTGCAGGACACACGTGGTAAGCTAGAGACCCTAAAGTGTTTGGGCCAGAGGAGGAAAGCCCCTGGCACCAAGAACCTGTGGGTTGTGGTGAAGAAGGTTAGGGAAGGATGCCTATGTTTCCAGCCCCAGGGTTCTGTGCTGGGAGCTGCTTCTCATTTTAATTTTAATATATTTATCAATATTTCATTTATTATTTGTGTGTTACATGTATGAGTTATTGGCTACATGTATGTAAGTGGACCCATGTTGTGCGATGCCCTCAGAGGTCAGAAGAGGCAACAAATCCCCTGGAATTGAAGCTACTGGTGGTTGTTAGCCCCCATGTGGATGCTGGAAATCAAACCCAGGTCCTCTGCAAGAATAGCCAACGCTCTTAACCACAGAGCTGTCTCTCCAGGCTCCGAAATGTATATTTTTAATAAAAATTAATAATAACCTCCTACTTTTTATGACTCTAAGTCTACAACAGAACTAATGTAAGCTTGGGCTCTGAATAGGGTACAGTATATGCCCCAGAGACACAGCCACCCCTAGTATGTCTTTAAGATTTATTTTATTTTCTGGGCTGGAGAGATGGCTCAGCAGTTAAAAACACTGGTTGTTGTTACAGAAGACTCAGGTTCAAATCCCAGCACCCACATGGCAGCTAACTGTCCATAACGCCAGTTCCAGGGGATCCAACAGCCTCCTCTGTCCTCCGCAGGCATTGCGTGACATGGGTGCACTTACCTACATGCAAGCAATACACACATACACATAAACTTTTTAAAAACGTAATCGGAGCCAGGTGTGGTGGCACGTACCTTTAAATATCAGCTCTTGGGAGGCAGAGGCAGGCAGATCTTTGCCAGTTCAAGGCCAGCCTGGTCTACGCAGTGAGTTCCAGGCCAGCTGGGGCTGCAGGGAGACCCTGTCTCAAAAAAAAGTAATTGGGCCAGATTAAAAGGATTCACTGTGCCAGTACCAGAGACAGAGAGGCAGACGTGTGTGACGGAGAATCCAGGTTCCGCCCACACTGTTTTCTGATGTTCAGATAATAGGTGAAAGAAGTGTATTCTAAGCCAGTTTAAGATCTTTCGGGAATATTTGCTTTACTTTTATAAAAGTTGTTTGGTTTGGTTTAGTATGAGGCAGTTGGAGGTCAGAAGAGGGCTTCAGATTCCCCTGGAACTGGAGTTAAGGATGGTTCATAGTCACCATGTAGGTGCTGGGAATCGAACCTGGGTCCTCTGCAAGAGCAGTCAGTGCTCTCAACCGCTGAGCCATCTCTCCAGTCCCCCCTCCATCTAAACAGTGACTTACCACAGAGAACAGCAGCAACAGACTGCACTCAACACTTGGGCTTTCTACACTGTTCCCTTTTCATCAACCTTCCTAATCAGAGGCTCCCGCAAAGGACACTATTCACTAACTTTTCCTAATCTTAATCCTTTGAGAGCAATTTCCCTCTGGGCAGACTTTCACCTATAGTTGCACTGTCACAAGATCAGGGCCCACACTGCTGATGATGTAGGCCTCCTGCAATCCTATCCCATACAGTCATTCAGGGACTTTAATACGTTCTCTAGTCCATTAGGCATTTGGGGAGTGTCCCAGTCCTCACACAACGGACCACACGCATCTAGGAAGGCCAAGTGACACAGAGAGGAAGACGGCCACCTTGAGATTTCCTCGACAGATTCTCCATCCTGACTCATCTTAGGGTCTGTTGTGTCCCTGTTTAGATTCCAGGTGTTCGGGGGTGGGGAAGCTGTAAAAATAACCTCCTTCCTCTGCCTCCCGAGTGCTGGGATTAAAGGGGAGTGTCACCATGCCTGGCCCACTCCTTTCTTTTTTGAAGCCCCATCCAGTAAGGAATTCATGCACCCCGGCCTCTCTCTGCCTCCCCGCACCCATGTTCTCCCCCTTACAGGTGTGACATTCAGCAATGGAGAGCGCTCCAAGCGACTCTGGCGCTTCACCATCGCCACACTGAGAGACTGGCGTGGGGAAGCATGGTGTGGAGGAGTGTACCCAGGAGGAAGCAGCCTGTCTTGTCAAGATTTTGCAGGACACACGTGGTAAGCTAGAGACCCTAAAGTGTTTGGGCCAGAGGAGGAAAGCCCCTGGCACCAAGAACCTGTGGGCTGTGGTGAAGAAGGTTAGGGAAGGATGCCTATGTTTCCAGCCCCAGGGTCCTGTGCTGGGAGTTTGGTTCATCACTCCAATGCCCATATCATCCACTTGACTCTTTCTTTTCCACATTTCCTATCTCTGCCCAACTATGGCACACCTCTTAGGAGCCCCCATTGACCCCACCTTCTACCTGAGCAAAACAGTCTCCGATGTCATTAGCTCTATTGTCTTCGGGGACCGCTTCAACTATGAGGACAAAGAGTTCCTCTGTGCTGGGAGTTTGGTTCATCACTCCAATGCCCATATCATCCACTTGACTCTTTCTTTTCCACATTTCCTATCTCTGCCCAACTATGGCACACCTCTTAGGAGCCCCCATTGACCCCACCTTCTACCTGAGCAAAACAGTCTCCGATGTCATTAGCTCTATTGTCTTCGGGGACCGCTTCAACTATGAGGACAAAGAGTTCCTGTCACTCCTGCATATGATGATGCAAATAAATTTGCAGCTTCACCCACTGGGCAGGTAACCTACTACCTTCTGTACCTCTGCCACAACACATCAACTGCACCACCAGGGCAGGAACAGCCTCCAGATCTCATCCCCAGATACGTAAGTTCCACTCAACACCAGCCCTCACTCTGAGACAGATGAGCCTTTACACCAGATCCCATGGCAGGTATCTAAACCCCAAGATCTAATGACACGAATATCTCAACAGCTGTCTTTCCTTTTCGTGTTTTCTCTCTGCCCCCAGCTCTATGATATGTTCTATGCAGTGATGAAGTATCTGCCAGGACCACAGCAAGGTATCTTTAAGAACATGCGGAAACTGGAGGATTTCATAGTAAAGAAAGTGGCACAGAACCAGCGCACCCTGGACCCCAGTTCCCCAAGGGACTTCATCGACACCTTTCTCATCCAAATGTACGAGGTACACCTGGCATCCAGGGAACAGGAGCTCCAAAAGCAGGCAGATGGGAATCACAGTAGGAAGGAGAACTTAGGCCCATTCAAATTGGTCCCCATAATAATCCTCACAATCCCAATTATAATTAAACGTCGTTTTTGCATCCATTGAGCTTTTATCCAAGCCAGGGTATGGGCAAGCAAACCGTCATAGTAGCCAACTTACAGTCCCACAACTGCAAGGCATGGTTTTCGGGACTTGCTAACGTTCACCTGCTTAGCATCTACAGCAGCTCTCAAGGAAGGTTCTGTTAAGGCCTAACTTTTACAAATGAGGAAACTGTGGCCCAGAGATTATAAGTGGCTTAGCTGATGTCATGCAGTCAGGAAACTGTGCACCCTAGCTCAAACTTTCACCTCTCTGAGCCTATGTATACCACTTTTAGCCCTCATCCTGTCTAACATTTCATATCATGTTTATGAACTATGTATTATGGACCAGGTAACCACGGTTTAGTATGTGACATCAAAGGGCCCCACCTCCACCTGCATGTCAGTCTCTCACCTGGGAATAAAGGACATGGGATTTTTATAAAGTATAAAGGTGAAAGATCTGGTGAGGAGATTCTTCTATGAGGTGTTTGAAGAAGGAGTAGGATGCTGTCATTTAAAATTCTGGGACTGTGTCTCAGACAAGCTAAGTCTGTGACACTCTCCATCCTCTTCCTCACAGTCCTTCTCCCTCGCTTTCTAAATAGCCCTGCCCTGATGAAAAGTGACAGCAGAGCTGATCATCAGAGAGCAGGCTGTCAACTAGACAGAGAAATGGGAAAAGCTTCTAAGGCAAAGCCAAGAGTCAGAGCAAATCCTGGAAATTACTCATCCCACCCTAGGTCTGGACCCTTAGAGAACTGGGTTCAAAAGAAAGAAAACTCACAGAAGGGGTGCCCCCTGAGACCCTATTCCTCCCTGAGGAACTACCGGCAGTTAATGGCTGTGTGGGGAAGGACAGTCACATTCCTCCTTGATGTAGCCACTGGTATAAGTTGTCTTTTCTCAAGTAAATAACCCCTATACATACCTAAGCAGGAAATCCTAATTATATGTAATGGGCAACAAAAAAAGACACGTTTAGAAAAAGAAAATGTTCAGTGGGAGGTGAAGGGGGTAAGACAGGATCATAGAGGGGAATGTGATCAAAGTACATCACATATATATATATATATACACATACATATATGTGTGTGTAAAATTATGAAAGAATGAGTAAATTTTTAAAAATTGAGAGTCCAGGACCTGGAGCGCTGGCTCAGTGGTTAAGAGCACTGGCTGTTCTTGCAGAGGACCCAGGTTTGGTACCCAACACTTACATGGCAGTTAACAACCATCTCTAACTCCAGGTACAAGGGATCTGACACTTTCTCTGACCTCCACAGGCACTGCATGACACAAGTGCACTTATATACATGCAGGTAACACACTCATACGCATAAAAATAAAAATAATCAATAAAAATATTTTTTTAATTAAAACCCTATGAGCTTGTAGGACTCAATTTCCATATGGTCGAGGACCTACTCCCTGACTCTTACAATCTTCCCACCCCCTCTTCGCAATGCTCCCAGAGCCCTGAGTGGGTGCTCATATTAATTTACAGCAATGATGTCAGCATACACAAGTCCCATGCAAACTCAAGCAAACAAAAACCCAGCAGAGAACTAGGGAAATGGAAAGCTGACCCTAATTAGCTAAAATATTGGCAACTGATTACTTCTGGGTGAGGAAGAACTGATCTTCCTAACATGAGAGACTCTAGATAGTAGATGAACTTGTACTGAAGAATGTATGGGAACCCTAACTTGACACAATGGGCTTTAACACAAATGACAGAATGTACTAATTCTAGCGGGGAGTTCTATGGAAGGGTGCCTGTGGGGAATGGGGTATAATGACGATTAAGATAGATTGAGACATTCTGTACGAAATACACAAAAATTCAATAAAAACAAATAAAAAAATAAAAGCCGATACATCCCCAAGGGATAAATTTGCACTCTCTCTCTCTCTCTCTCTCTCTCTCTCTCTCTCTCTCTCTCTCTCTCTCTCTC